GAAAAGCATAAAAAATGCTCAAAATTCGTGGTTCCCCTGGATTTTGACTAAGAAAAATCGATTTTGGGCTTGTATTGTTCGTCAGATAATCTCCTATAAGAATCTGTTTCCCTTGAACCGATCGCAGTAATATATATATATATACGTTGCTTCGGGTTTCTGTGAAATACCGAATTTTGCTGTTTTTTTTTTAATCATCAGAGATAATACACTATAACTTCGTAGGATATTGACTGTTGATGCTATTTGTTATTTGTAAAATGTACCTATGTCAATTTTATAATTTATATGTATACATATATATGTGTACATACGTATAAGCCGGTGTGTCTTGTAAAAATTCAAAAATTCGAAAACACCTAATTGTGAAAAACAAATTCCATCATTGACCCCTAGCGCAACTCTGGATTAGCGCCACCAAATGGGAGAGCTAAGAACGTTTGGGCTGGATGACCATACTATTATTATACTTATATATTCAGAACGATATATATACATTGTTACATATATATGCCGTTCTGAATATATAGGTAAAATAATAGTATGGTCGTCCAGACCAAACGTTCTTGGCTCTCCCGTTTGGTGGCGCTGATCCGGAATGGCGCTCGAGGCCACGTAGGCACACATCATCTGAACAATTATATTTTTATGTGTTCGTAGACATAAATGTATTTGTACCTATAGGTTTAGCAGGGTTAAGCCTCATCGTCTTATTTCCTTTAACTTATGATTGAAGAAACGTATAGAGTATAAAAATTGGGATATTGGTCTCTTATGCTCATCATAATTATTTGAAGGTAAGTTTTTAATCATGTATATGTGTGTTTGTATATGCATAGTTGTATATATACATACATATACACGCATTTATATATACTTTAATGGCAGTAGATTTCCTACTTTTTAATGCTATTTGCTGTTTACAAAAACAACTGTTGTTATTTAATGATGTATATGTGTAAATATATTTGTATATATACATTGATACATGTATACGTATGAGTAGGTGTGTCTTGTAATAGCTGAAAAAATTAAAAAACACATCAAAAAGTAACGTTCTTATGGGGTTATAGGGTTTTTGTTGATAGAACTCATGATATTTAATTAATCCACATAACTGGCCCAAAATTACAAAATTACAAAGTTTCATAAGTTTTTGCTCGTTAACAGTACAATTTTAGGGTTACAAGGCTAAAAGGTTATTGTGCTGTTAGATGGGCAAGATAAAAGATTTTTTAGTTTTGGGTTTCTGATTGGAATGATTCAGAAAAAAGAAAAATTTTAATGTTTTTGAACGATAATATTAGATATTGAAAGTAGTAGGAGTGATTCCCTTCAGCAGGAAAATAGTAATGAGGCTTTAATGGAG